AACACATCATGGATATCTGCAGAAGGATTTTTTTTTGCGGCAGTCTTACAAACGGATTCCTGTCGTGGCGGCCTCACAATCGGATTCCTGTTTGGGCGGCCTTGTAAACGGTATTTGCGTGGCGGCATTGCAGACATATTCCGATTGCGACGGGATTATTGAGAGGTTGCTTTTGACGCGAGGTTATAAACATATTCCGGAACTGGTCAGATTATGGAAAAGCTCCTCCTGAAGCGGCTGAATGCAAGAATCCGTGAAAGGGGGTTGCCGAATGGAATGGCGAAGAAAAATGGTCACATAGGAATTCGAAGAAGAAGGGTGTATGTTGATCTTACTGGGGACACATACTGCAAAATTGTCAAAACGGTTGGAACGGAATGGCGAAGCATTGAAGACGTCTAGGAAACGCTAAAAAAAAACGCCACCCACATCCAGCCTCTTCCCAGGAGGAGGGGGATGAGGAAGGAAGAGTGGCGCGGGGCGATACGGAAGTTCAATTATCCTCGCGAAGGGCCCAACCATATACCATTCTGAGTTCCGCAAGGCAAGTGGGACGAATGAGGGTGAGCTCCTCAAGGGGCCACGAGACGTGGGAGGATGTGCCGCATGGGCGGAGGGGCGAATGTGGACACCGCCGCCAAAGCCTCCAGTGGGGCTCCCTAGGGGCAGGCCGCTAAACGCTGTTCTGGGTGGCGCGGGCGCATGTGATCACAGCCACTGGGGCCTTTGGTGGACCTCCCTATGGGGTCATAAGCGTTGTACTGGGTAGCGTTGACGCGTGTGATCACAGCCACGGGGGCCGTCGGTGGAGCTCCTGGATGGGGCCACGGAACGCTGTACTGGGTGGTTCGGACGCATGTGATCACAGCCACTGGGGCCTTCGGTGAAGCTTCCTATGGAGCCACGAAATGCTACATTGGGCGGCGAGGACGCGTGTGATCACAGCCACTGGGGCCGTCGGTGGAGCTCCATAAGGACCCACGAAACGCTGCACTTGTGGCACGGACGCATGTGATCACAGCAACCGGGGCCTTCGGCGGTGCTCCCTATTGGGCCACGGAGCGGTGTATTCTCGGGGGCGGACGCATGTGATCACAGGCAGTGGGGCCTTCGGAAGGGCCGCGATATGCTGTACTGTGTGGCGCAGGCGCATGTGGTCACGCCAGCTGGGGCCTTCGGTGGAGCTCCCTATGGGGCCACGGAGCGCTGTATTGGGCAGCGCGGGCGCATGTGAGCACAGCCACTGGGGCCGTCGGTGGACCTCCCTAAGGGAACACAAGCGCTGTATCGTCGGGTGCGGACGCACATGGTCACAGCCATTGGAGCCTTCGGTGGAGCTCCCTATGGGGCCACGATATGCTGTATTCTCCAGAGCGGACGCGTGTGATCAAGGGCCTTCGGATCTGGGGCCACAAAGCGCTGTTTTCTCGGGCGCGGACGCATGTGAGCACAGCCACTGGGGCCGTCGGTGGACCTCCCTAAGGGAACACAAGCGCTGTATCGTCGGGTGCGGACGCACATGGCCACAGCCATTGGAGCCTTCGGTGGAGCTCCCTATGGGGCCACGATGTGCTGTATTCTCCAGAGCGGACGCGTGTGATCAAGGGCCTTCGGATCTGGGGCCACAAAGCGCTGTTTTCTCGGGCGCGGACGCATGTGATCACAGCTACTGGGGCCGTCGGTGGAGCTCCCTGTGGGGCCCGGAAGTGCTGTACGGCAGGTTCGTGTCGTGACGACCCCGGCGTTGGTTTCTGACACTGCGTGAATCGTTCAACCTTGAACGATCGGCGGTTTTTCGACCGCCCGATCGTTCCATATAAGCCGATTCTGGGCCACTGGCGGCGTTCAACCTTGAACGCCCTCGGCGGGGTCGCCGCCGGTCGACACGACGCGAACCTACCGTACTTGGTGGCGCGTGCGCATGTGATCGCAGCCACTGGGGCCTTCAGTGGAGCTCCCTATTGGGCCACGGAGCGCTGTGCCGGGAGGAGCGGTCGCATGTGACCACAGCTACCGGGGCCGCCGGTGGAGCTCCCTGTAAGGCGACGGAGCGCTGTACTGGGTGGCGTGTGCACATGTGATCACAACCACTTGGGCCTTCAGTGGAGCTTCACCGAGGGCCACGAAACGCTGTACTGGGTGCGGAGGGCAGAGGCAGGATTGCGAGGATGGGGAGGAGGGGCGAGGAGGGGAGGGCAGCGGGTGGGCAGGAGACGCGGGGAACTCTCTCTTCAGAACGAAGACCCAACACCACAGCATGGTTGGGACAGAGCAGGGAAGTGGCTCAATACAGGATGGTTGGAAACGAACGGTGTGAGACAGAAAGAGAGAGAGAGAGAGAGAGAGAACAAAAAAAAGTAAACACAACAAAAACCAACAAACGAACGACATACAAAACAACAACAACAACAACAAATGCGGACCGCGGATCTGGGCGCTACCTGGCCTGGCGGGGCCCGCGCCTGGCGCTGGAGGCTGGCGCTGCAGCGCATCGGAGAGGAGGGAGCCGGGAGAGATCCTCGGCGTGCGAGGTCCTCGGAGGAACAGTCGGGGGGCACCGGGGTGGCCCAGGCCACAGAGAGGGTAGTTACTTTGGAGGCTAGTCCACAAGAAACCTTCCACGAGAAGCCCAACCCTGAGACCCCAGGGCGTTCGCTGCTTTTGTGGTCTGGGCACGTCACGCCGTCCATGGCCAAGCCATGTACACCCAGGAAACCCAGGGCACCCTGGAGGCAAGCAGGGTGTTCTTCGGCATGGGCCTCCACTGCACGGCAGGGAGAGGTGGAGATGGGGTTCCGAAGGCGGCGCCGCGCGGCGGAGCCGGGGAACCCATTGCAGAGTGGGGTCGTGTAGGCCCGTGGCACCCTGGCGGGATGCCGCCACGACGGGATGCGACCCCCCAGGAGGTGCCCCTCGCGGGAGCGTGGAGCGACCAGACCTGCATGCCAGGCAGGCACGGGGGAGCATAGAAAGGGCCCCAGGTCACACACACATTAATACACACAAGTCCCAGGATTCCACACATGGTCTGGGTGTTCGTCTTCCCCCGCCCCCACACTTCCCACAATGTCCTATATTTTCCTGGCGGTCGGCGATGCAATTTGATCTGTGTTCTCCCCCCTCCTGGACAAAATGGGTGCCCCCCGCCAGGAGGGAGAGGGCCACGGCCAGAGGGGGGCCGAGCCGGAGGCGGAGGGAGGCGAGGACGGACGACCACGAAGGACCGAACGAAGGATCCTCCTCCTCCTCCTCATCATCATCCTCCTCCTCGGCACTGGGGTGGCCTAGGCCAGAGAGAGGGTGGTTGGGACGGGGGGCAGGCGGGCGTTGCCCTGGACCACGGGGGAGATTGGCCACCGCAAGAAGGGAGCATGCCGTGGACGGCGAACGGAGGAGCGACGATGCACGCCTACGAACGGACGAGCGAACGAACGAATGTCAACGGGCGGATAGCGGTATACAATAAACTGTTTCGCTATCGGGGGCGCCTGACCCAGGGCAGCTGAAAAGTTGATAGCCTTACGGTGGCATCGTAGGGGGATAAACTTTCCAGCCGCCCAAGAGCAGGCGCCCCCGACGGCGGAAAAGTTGATCATATACAGTTGTTCGCCCACTGAGAATAAGAAAACAAAGCGGGAGACAGCGGTTTTGGACTGAGCCATAGTGGGGGTGGTGGGGACGGGGGGCAGGTGGCCGTAGCCCTGGACCGATGGGGAAGCTGGCCACGACCTCAGGGGGGGCGGCGGAGGGGCGAGAACGGACGACCACGAACGAACAAGCGAACGAACGAAAATTAGCTCGGCGAAGGGCCCAACCATTTTCAGATGCGAATGCCGCAAATGGATATCGTATGCGGTGGCGCTCCCTACGAGGCCACGAACCGTGTGGGGGGCGTGCCGAAATGGTTGGCAAGGGCGCATGGGAACGTCGCCACCGGGGCCTTCGGTGAAACTCCCTATGGGACCACGAACCGTGTGAGGGGCGTGCCGAACTGGGTGGCGAGGACGCATGGGAACGTCGCCACTGGGGCCGTAGGTGGAGCTCCCCATGGGGCCACGAACCGTGTGAAGGGTGTGCCACAATGGGTGGCAGGGACGCATGGAGCCTTGGGTGGAACCCCCGATGGAGCCACGAAACGTGTCAAGGGTGTGCGAAAATGGGTGGCGAGGACGCATGGTAAAGTCGCCACTAAGGCCTTAGGTAGAAATCGCTATGGGGCCACGAACCGATTGGGGGGCGTGCCGAAAATGGATGGCGGGGACGCATGGGAACGTCGTCACTGGGGCTTTTGGTGGGGCTCCCTATTGGGTCACGAACCTTGTGAGGGGTGTGCCGACATGGATGGCAGGGACGTGTGGGAACGTCGCCACTGGGGCCTTCGGTGGAGCTCCCTGTGGGGCCACGAAACGTGTCAGGGGCGTGCCAAAATGACTGGCGGGGACGCATGGGGACGTCGCAACTGGAACCTTAAGTGGAGCTCTCTACGGGACCACGAACCGTCTGGGGGGCGTGCCGAAAATGGGTGGCGGGGGCGCATGGGCACGTCGCCACTGGGGCCTTCGGCGGAGCCCTTGATGGGGGCACCAACCGTGTGAGGGGTGTACCACTATGGGTGGCGGGGACGCGTGTAGACGGTACCGCTGGGGCCTTCGGTGGAGCTCCCTTCGGGGCCTGGGAAGGGGGAGGGTGATGGAGGAGGGGGGGGAAGGAGGCGGGAGGAAAACGCGGTGCGCCGTCTCTACAAAACGAAGACCCAACACCACAGGATGGTTGGGAATAAAGGGGCGGGGGCACTGGGGAACGAACGAACGAACCTAAGTAAAGAGGTCCGAGCTCTAGAACACAGCTGTGCAACAAATGAACGGGACACTCCTGTCGTCCACCTTCCAGGGAGCCATCTCTTCACTGCGAGGCGTCGTCATCGTCGCCGTCGAAGAGCAGAAAGCTTGGAGGCCGTCGCCACCGCGGCCGCCAGCGCAGACTCCGTTTGCCCTGTGGGCCTCGGCCACCAAGCGCGCAGATTCGGCCATGGCCTTGGCGCGGATGACCTCGACGGGGGAGCGTGGATGCCGTCGCCGCCGCCGCCGCCGCCATCGCCGTCACCGTCGCCGTCCACGTCGCCGTCGCAATCGTCGTTGTCGTCGTCGCCATCGTCGTCGTCGTCGTCGCCATCGCGACCACCGCCGACGCCGCCGTCGTCGAGGCTCGAGGACCGAGGCCTTGACGACGGCACTAGCGGCACTAGCGGCATCTGGGGGCCTGCGACGACCTCTGGAGGTTCCCTCCGATGATTCAGTGGCTAATTAGCACCAGGCTGCTGCTGGCGCTTCAATTCATACGAGGCGATTTGCTCCTCGTTTCGTTTGCCGCTGTACTTTGGCTGTGCACCGCCTCGTGCCCTCCTTGTTCACCACTAATCAGCACTGCCGTGACTGGGCCTTCCATCATGGCGCGTTCGACTCACTCATTCGCAATTGGCACCTCCGCCTGCCGACCGCGCCTGGGGTCCCTCTGCGCCGCCGCCTGACAAGCCCTCTGGAGGCCTCTGGTGGTTTCCGTTGTCGCCGTCGCCGTCGCCATCGTCGTCGTCGTCGTCGTCGTCGTCGTCGCCGTCGCCGTCGCGTCGCCGTCGTCGTCGCCGTCGCCGTCGCCGTCGTCGTCGTCGTTGTCGTCGTCGCCGTCGTCCTCGCCGTCGCCGTCGTCGTAGTCGTCAGGCGTCGGTCGTCGCTGGCACCAGTGGCGGCGGTGACCTCGGCCTGCGCCTGGCCCTCCGCCTCGATCTTCGCCTTGCGGCTCGGAGGAGGGCCAATATGGCAACCCGCGCCGACCCTGGCCGGGCTTCGTCGGGCCGGGCGAACGGGGGGGGGATAGCAAAGGGGGGGTTTGAGAATCAGCTCACGTAGCTTTATGAAGAAAATCCTGGAGGCCTCGCGCGGCAACTTGAGACCCGATTTACGTCGGATCTACGTCGGACTTACGTCGGGTTCACGTCGGACTATGTCGGATTTACGTCGGATTTACGTCGGACTGACTCCTGAGCATCGCCGCGCGAGCGTCGACCCATAGCTGACGGACTAGATCATACTACTATTACGCGCCGCGCGAGGCCTCCAGGATTTTCCTCATAAGTAGCTGATTATCCCGGCGCCTCCCGGCGCCGGGAGGCGCCCACGGATCGAGGAGTGGGCCTGGCGGCGGGGCCGAAACCAGCTGCATGCAGCAGATTTCGTACCCTCCCCCTTTCCCTATCTCCCCCTGCGTTCGGCCCGACTTAAGTCGGGCGTGTCCCCCACAAGGAGACGTTGGACATTTTAAATAGTCGAAAAATATACCGTCGATCCTGCGTGTGAGTTTGTGTGAGCGTGGGCTTGAGCTCGCTCATGCTTCGCTCTGGAGAGGGGGGGGCGGGGGGACGAATTGCACAAGCTCTGGAGAGGGGGGGGACGAATTGCAACAGAATTCACTGAACGCACAAGCCCCCCGGGGGGGGGAGGGGGGACGAATTCCAACGGAATTCACTGAACCCACAAGTTCTGAAGAGGGGGGGGGACGCTTCGCGCTGAAGGGGGGGGGGACGAATTCCAACGGAATTCGCTGAACGCACAACAGAATTCACTGAACGCACAAGCCCCCCCTCCCTCTCCGAGAGGCATCTTCTTCTTCTCCCCCCCCGACAGCCCCCCCCCAAAAAAAAATTATCCCCCCCCCTTCCAGGACAGACCCCCACCCCCACCCCCCTCCAGGACAGACCCCCCCTCCTCCGACAAATCCCTTTCCGCTCGTCCGCTGTCTCTCCTACAGACCCCCCCCTCGCTCTCACAGACCCCCCCCGCTCCGACAACCCCCCCCCCCCTCCAGGACAGACCTCACCTCTCCGAAAAATCTCCTTCCATTTTTGTCCGACAGAGCCTCTCTCCTCGCCATTCAGGCCCGGGAGAGAGGAGGGGGGCCGGGAGGGAGGACGGGGGAGGCCTCTGCTCTGTCGGAGGGGGGGAGGGCTGACGCCATTCAGGCCTAGGAGGGAGGAGGTGGGGGGGGGGGGAGGGGCTGACGCCACTCAGGCCGGGGGGGGGAGGAGAGGGGGGGGGGGGGGGAACGCCATGGGAAAAAGGGAGGGGAGGGAGGGGGGGCTGACGCTATTCAGGCTCGGGAGTGAGGAGGGGGGGAGGCTTCGCTCTGTGGGGTGTGGGGGTGTGGGGGAGGGGGGGGGCTGACGCCATTCAGGCCCGGGTGGAGGGGGGGGGGAGTGGGGGCTGACGCCATTCAGGCCCGGGAAGGAGGAGGGGGGGGGGGGGCTTCGCTCTGTCGGGGGGGGGGGGCTGACGCCATTCAGGCCCGGGAGGGAGGAGGGGGGGGGCTGACGCCCTTCAATCCCGGGAGGGAGGAGTGGGGGCGAGGTGGGAACGCCATGGGCAGGAGAAGGAGGGGGAAGGGGGGAACGCCATTGAGGCCTGGGAGGAGGAAGTCGGGGGAAGGGGGGGAGGGGAGCTGACGTCATGGCTGACGCCATTCAGGTCCGGGAGGGGGATCTGGAGGGGGGGGGAGGGAAGGAGCCCTGAGGCCATGGCTGATGCCATTCATGCCCAGGAGGGAGAAATCGTCGGGGGCGGGGGCTGACGCCATGGCTGACGCCATTCAGGCCCGGAAGGCGGGAGGGGACATCCCATGAGTTTGGCTGTTCACGCGAGATCGCCACTTTCGAATATCTGACGGTTGCCCAAGCGAGCTCAACATCTCTATTTTATGAGGATGTCTCGAGCGAGCGCTCTTCTTTTAAACATAGAATGTCCTCCGTTGGAAGCAGAATCCCGGATCGGCGGCACTGGCTGGAGGCCACTACAATAATCAAAAAATCGTCCCCAGACTATTGTTGACTGTTTTTGAATCCTCCTGTAGAGGGACAGGCCCGACGTAAGACCAGGCCCGTCCGAACACAGGATCGAAGTACGGCAGGTTTGTGTCGTGTCGACGTCGGCGCTGGTTTCTGACACCGCGTTGATCGTTCCACCTCGAAGGATCGGTCTTTCTCGAAACGTCAGATCGTTCAACATCGACCGATTCCGGGTAGCCGGCGGCGTTCAGCGTTCAGCGTTGAACGCCCGCGGCGGGGTCGCCGCGAGTCGACACAACACGAACCCACTGTACATGTACGCCCTGCTGGCACGGCAGGCATGCTCCTCGCTCCTGGGCCCAGGCTCGGCCTGGCTCGGGCGCACGCCGACAGAAATGAGTGATCCGTGGATCTGGCGCGTGGGCGCCAGATCCACGGATCGGGGAAGGTACCCCGACACGTGAGGCCAATGCCGCCTCATTGGAATGGAGACGGGACCCGCCGCTCGTCCGCGCGCCCCGGTCCATGTTGGCGCTCGCTCGGCTGGCCAGGGCCGGCGCTGCTCGTGCCCTTGGCCCCCCCCCCGGGCCTTGTCCGCGGCCGCGGTCGCGTCGAGCTTCATCGCCTTGGCGTTGCCCCTGGCGGCCGTCTCCGCCTGCAGGGCCTGGGCGCTCGCCACCGCACCGCAGGCCAGCGCCTTCGTGAGCTCGACGTCGATGGGGACCGCCGAGAGGATGTTGATGGACAGTACCCGCCACCGCGCGTGCTGCGGCTGGTGCGTGGCAGGCCCGCACTCCCCGGCCCCCAGGGCCCCCCACTTCGCCTCCGCGAGGCTGACCCCTCCCCAGGGCACGGTGTGGCGGATGCGCGCGGCAGCGCTACTGGATCTCCACGCCGTACGTCATGGCCGTCACGTTCGCGTGCGCCACGGCGTCGTTCATCCGGCTCACGTCGTACAGCGGGTTGTCCATGGTCTTGCTCGTCCTCGCTTCCGACTCGGGCTCGTCATCTCTGCCTCCTCCAGGTGCGCGTGACTTTTTCCCCTGAACGCTTGCGGCCATGTGGAAGCTGTCAGAATAGTTGACACCACCGATGAAACTTGCCAAGGACGCAATGGCTTGCTTAAGCACGTCCTGACGCAACTTCGCGATATCAGAAGAGACTGCCTTAGATCCAACCGCCATCGTCTCGGCGCCCATTGTCGCAGCCAGTGTCGGGTTCTTGATGCACCAAGTGACTGTGGACGTCACCTGCATGGTGATATTGTCTGCACTTGTGGCCTTGATTTGCTCAAGATCGTCGGTTTGTATCTTCAAAGTCAAGAACTTCTCAAACCGCCAGTTCTTGTGGTTCAACAAATGAGTGGCGCCGCCAGGAAGGATGTGCTGCTTCCCGTTGTTCTGAGTCACTGCTGCGTAGCCTTCGTCCACGGTGATTCGACGGCCCGACGGGCCAGCGGGATGATAGATTTGGACCAGGAGGAGGAGGAGGAGGAGGAGGAGGAGGAGGAGGAGACGAGACGAGCGACGAGCGTCTGGGGCAGCCCTGGAAGAACGCTGGGCTGTAAGGCCCGCACCACAGGGCCAGAGCTCGGATCGCTGCTCGCCACTGCGAGAAAGACAGCGACTGGCAGTGATCGCGCGGCGTCTATGTATACACCAGTGCATACGCATGCGGGCTACCAAAAAGAAGCAGCGTTGCAAAACGCATGAAGTCAACACAGCTCGGGGGGGACAAAAACAAAATTGTGCTGAGGGGCGCATGGGATAAGGTGTTGGCCCAGGTCTGTGCTGCTGACGTGTTTTGCCAAGCTCGGAGCTGCATCAGCGCTACGGTGGTAGCACTCCCCTCCGGATGCAGGCCACTCTTCCGAAGGTGGGACATGAGTGGCACCTGCTTGGCATGGTCCGCGGTCGTCCTCAGCTTGCGGCGGCGGCGGGGAGGGACGAGCGGACGTCGCGATGAAGCGTTCTAAAACAGATCTCGGCGAGTTGAGACAACGGCAACTCAATATCGGTCCCCCGACACCTCCCTGGGTCAAAAACGCACCCGGCTCTCCGAGCTGCGTCCAGCTGTGGCGACGGGTGAGCCCCCACAAAGGCCAACGACCGTTGCCTCGACTCGCAGTCCTCGGAAGGAACAGGCGGGCGGCTGTCGCGATGCAGCGTCTTCAATCCACCCGCCCGCTGGGCCCCAGGACGTGCGAAGCTCCCTCTCGTCGGCCCCGCTTCGACCATGTCGCCTGACTTCGCGTTTCGCACAGCGCCGCTAGCGGCGCGAGGTGGTCTGCACACACCGCCGCAGCCCCATCTGGAGGAAGGCGACCGTTATCCTCAGGCCGCGGGGCGCAGGCGCGGCTGTCTTGGCGCCCCTGCGGGTGACACGGGGGGGGGCCTTCGTCTCGACAGTTTCGTCTCAAAGTGCGGCCTCTTTGCATCCTCCAGCGAGCCCCTCGAACTCAGGAGGGCAGGCCCAGGATGACGCGCTACACCCTCCTCTTCGACCACAACAACAAACAGGACGTTACTTCTGTATCTGGAAGAGGGGGCACTACCTCGAACATTCTTCAATCAGAAGCTGTGGACGGACATCTTACTACCCTCGACAGAATTGACCTTAACACATATGTTACGCCATGTCCTTGTCGCGTGCGGAGAGCACTTGTTGGTGCCCCCTCTCCAATGCCGCTCATCGTACCATGTTTCGAGTCGCACCTGCCCAGGCCGCATCTCGCTCTACTTCGACATTAGGAGGGCGACATTGCTCGGCTACACGCAAGAGTGACCCTGGGTAAGAGTGACCTTTGGTGCGCGGCTTCTGTGGAGCCGCGGGGGGGACACACCCAAGCGCGCAAGACGCGACTATCGCATCGCATTCGGCGATCGGGGGTCCCCATTGGGCCCGCACCAATGGTCAACTCCGGCGAAAGGTCACTCTTACATCTAGTCGGATTGCATGGGTGAAAGGATACTGAACTTACAAGTCAACCAATGTCGAACCTGCTGCCGAAGGCTGGTAGGCAACGTCTCCTCGGAGCGAGAGCGGAAGCGACGGGGCGATGACCGCGAAGCGTTTTGAATCAGAGTGTACGGCCCGAGCGACACCATGTGCTGGTCCAGGGAGATGGCTTTGTTGTAGCTCAGCGTGTCGGACGTCCACACGTGTATGCCAGGAGGCAGCAGCACGGGCTGGCCGTTGTCGAAGGCCAGCCCCAGGTAGCCCTGCTCTACCATCAGAATGCACCTGTTGCCGTGCACGAGCGCGTCGTTCGTGGGGAGCTTATGCGTGCCGCAGTGCTTCATGAAACACCCCCCGATGTTGTGCATGCCGGGCTGCGCGAAGAGGTACTCCTGCTTCTCGTTCATCAAGAGGCCGACGCATCCGGCCGGAACGAAAAATTCGGTGTGGGTCGTATTGTACAAAATGCACCCCAGAATCGGACACACGAAATAACCGTAGATGCACTTTTGCACAAGGTCGTTGGACTTGGAGGAGTTCGCCGAAAGATCCACCCCATCAAATATGTCCTCAAAACACTGCTTTCGGTATTTGGTCACGAGGATGCCCGCCTCCTTCAGCGTTTTGTAAGCCGGCGTGTCCTCCAAGTGAGCCAGCTCCTGGCTCGGCTCCGAGGCCATTCCCAACATCATTGGTGCGGTTTCGGCATGCACGGCTGGTGGTTGTGGCTGGCGCGTCGTCATGGTCTGCACCATGCCCGGACTTCCGAAGCTAATGGGCAGTGCCTGTCTGTCCGCTTGGACCAGCTGGGCAACGGACGACACGACGCGCCTGCGAGGCGCATCGCAGCAGCGTTCGGCGGAAGGTAACCGAAAGCTTAGCATGCACACTCATGCCTGCCCATTCCCCATCCCCTAAACCGTCTTCCTCCCGATTCAAACAGCAACGATACGTGGCGACAGCCGTGCACTCTACCCCCACTGACCATCGATTCTCTTGAACCGATGGGTGCCAAGGGTAGGGTTCGGATTTCACCGCGTGCTCGACGCATTCCGAAGCCTCGCCCCGCCACCGATCGAGTTGCTTTCATCATTGATCGGCGAGGGCAGGTTTCGGATTTCGCTGCCCGAGTGATCTGGAACACCTGTCCTACGCGCCTGTCTCGAGGGAGCGCTCACGAGCAACGCTCAGCAGATCCCTGTCCCCACAGGTGCGGCCTTGGCCCCACTGGCCGACTGGCTCCCTAGATTGAAGGGGCCCCAGGACACACAAATAAATACACAGAAATAAAATGATTCCCCATATTTTCTCATATGTTCCATGTTTTTGTCTTCCCGCCCATTTCCCATATTTTCCCATGTTTTCCTGGAACTCGACGATGAATTGTGTCTGTGTTTTTTTTCCCTCCTGATAGATGGGGATGCATGCTGTTCCCCTCGAGTCTCGTAGGGCACATCCCCCAACTGGGAGGAGGAACGGTGGGACTGAGATACCATGGCCCGATTGGGATGGTAGGAGGAGGAGGAGGAGGGGGAGGAGGAGGAGGAGGGGGAGGGAGGGAGGAGGAGGAGGAGGAGAAGGACTCGGTCAGACGATACAGGGGCTGAGCACACTCCCAATCAATTTTTTTTGGGGGGGAGGCCGGAGAGAAACGGAGCCCCTCGAGCGGAACAGCTGCTTCGGCTTCGCTTCTGGTCGGGCGCCCCCGCGCGTGCGGGCGAGAGGCTCGGGGGCGCGGGCTAGCCCGAGGCCGCCTCCTGCTCCTCCTGCTCCTCCTGCTCCCCCTCCTCCCCCTCCTCCCTCCTCCTCCTCCTCCTCCTCCTCCTCCTCCTCCTCCTCCTCCTCCTCCTCATCCTCCTCCTCCTCCTCCCCACAGAAGGTACATTGCCATCAGAGTGCTCCTCCCCCGCCGCTGCGCGCTGGCTCCCGCGCGGGTCCCACGATTTTGTCCCTGCGGCTGCCTCGGGATCGTCTGGTGGTCGCTCTGCGGTTCTCGCCGTTGCCGTCCCGCCGTGGCTGTCGCGCGGCTGTCGCGCGGCTGCTCTGTGATTGTCCTGTGGGTGTCCCGTGGATGTCTTTTGGCTGGTGAGCGTTTTCTTACTCGGCGTTTCGACATTGGGCGGAAGGGGGGGGGGTCCGGCTCCGGACCTCTGCTTACTGCGACTATTTAAAACAGTGTGTCCTACAGTCGGACTTGATTGGAGAGAACACAAGAGAGGACACAATACCCTTGCGAAGGCCACATCGCCACGTTCTCCGAGAAGTCTGGGCCGTCAGTGCCACAATAGCCGAGAACACGTTGTTGGGACAGCTATCGCGCGTTCGGAGACTATGCGTTTTGTTCGTGGCAGCTGAACTATTCAACTGTACTGTTGTTGTTTGTCGCGCAAACGCTCAATAACACTTCTTGTGTTCGTAAACTACCTGTGGGCCGAAATCTGCCCTACTCGGGGTGCTACTTTGAAATGTACTTTCAAGTTCCGGCCCCACCTGGAAGCCCACCTCAACTTATATCTCTCAAACCATACGTTGCCGGTTTCCTCATACCCCCCGGCTGTAGCAGGCCGCGCCTAATACAGACACAGACACACACACACACACAGTCACACACAGACACAGACACAGACACACACACACACACACACAGATACACACACACAGATACACACACACACACACACACACACACGCACACACGCAGCGTGCCTCCCTCTACGGAGGGAGCCCGCCCCAAGGCCGGGGCGGTGCGGCGCCGCCCCCCCCCTGGGCCTTGTCGGGCGGGAGGTGGTGCACGAGCTCCAGCGCCAGGAACTCGCTCTGGCGGCGGCGGCCAAGGGGGGGGGGCGGAGGGCGGCGGGGGCCGAGGCCGCGGGCTGCAGCGCCCCCGCTCGAGCGGGGGAGGTGCCGAAGAGGCAAGGGGAGAGGGGGGGGGGAGTGAGGGGGAGAGGGAGGGGGAGTGAAGGGAGGGGGAGGGGGAGCGAAGGGAGAGGGAGGGGGTGTGAAGGGAGAGGTGCCGAAGAGGCGAGGGGGAGAGGGAGGGGGGGAGGGGCGGGCCAAGGGAGGAGCGAGCGCGCGGGGAGTGGGCAGGGCCCTCGGGCCTCTTGGCGCCCTGCAGGCGGGCGCAGGAGGAGGAGGAGGAGGAGGAGGAGAGGGAGGAGAGGGAGGAGGAGAGGGAGGAGGACGCAGGAGGATGAGGAGGAGGAGGAGGGAGGAGGAGGAGAGGAGGAGGAGGAGGAGGAGGAGGAGGAGGTGGAGGAGGGGGAGGAGGAGGAGGAGGAGGATGAGGAGGAGGAGGAGGAGGGGGAGGAGGAGGAGGTGCCGAAGAGGTACGGCGAAGCGAAGGCCGAGACAACATCGGGGGCAGGGACGAAGCGGGGATCTCTGGGATCCCTCCGTGCTTGAAGCTGCCGAGGAGGTCGCAGGCGGCACGCCGAGCCCGCCCCACCGCCACAGATGGTGGTGCGACAGGGAGGAGTCTGAAGGGGCCCCAGGACACTCAAATAAATACACACAAATATAACTATTCCCCATATTTCCCATATGGTTTGGGTTTTCGTCTTCCACCCCACTTCCAATATTTTTGCATATTTTCCTGAGAGTCGACGATTAATTGTGTCGGCGTGTTTAGTCCCCTCCTGAAAAATTGGTGGTGCGACAGGGAGGGGTCATCTGTAGGGAAAGCGGGTTGGAGTATGCACCAGACGCAGGCTGCCTCTCCAGAGCGTTCCAGAGGGGTCCGAGAGCGTTCTGGAACGCTCTGGAGCGCCTCATCCTGGTCCTGGGCCCACGTTGCCTTAAAAGTTGTCTCTGGCACAAGGTGTCCACAGCTTGGCGGATGCCATGACAATGGACACCCTAACAATCATTTCGTTGAATTAAACATGTGATCGAAATAGTTGAACACGGTTCTAAACAACATTAAAAGTACATGCTTCCTCTCCATGGATCGCCATCCACATCTCGAGCTGTTCGCTTCATGTTGTGGCCCCTCGGGCCTCCTGGGCCCCGTGGGGGGTGCTCAAACCCTCTAGGAAACCTTGGGGGCACCTTCGGGCCAACGACAGATCCTGGCAACACCCGACTCGCGGCCTGGAAGCATGTCTGCATCCGTGGCCTCGCCGTCAGAAGTAGGGAGCCGAACTCTGTGCACCGATGCTTCTTCCCGCCGTGCAATTAAATGCGCACAAGATTCGGATCCTAGTGCATACGGGATCCTGGTGTATACGTACATGTTTCGTCGTTTCCTCGGGACCGCAGAAACAGACAGTATACACAACACCTCCCCGACGTCGCCCCCGACCCTCGAAAGTCCTGGGATTGAATGAAAGACAGCCTGCCACTGGTCATGCATCGGTTCCAGCTTCCGACGAAGACCTCGGCCACGGCCACGCGTGGATCCAGGACAACCCCTCGCGCGGGATGCCGGACGCCTCCTCGCGCATCGGACCCGTGGCATCGCGCAGCTGCCCACGGGACGCGCCCTGGCGCCCAGGACGCGAGGGCGCGAACGTGGATGTGGACGTGTTCGTCGCTCGTCCCCGTCCCCATTCGCGATAACGCCCGTGGCAGGCCCCGCCCTCCCCCCTTCCCCCCCTCCCCAGTCACGTCACGACTCGCGCCGGCGCCGTCTGGAAGCGAGACACTCCTGGCCAACGCCCCGGACGGCGCCGTCGCGGCTCGTGACGCGGCCGGCCCCCGCCCCCCAGGGTCACGCTTGTGATCGCCAGGAGAGGAACTCAGCGGCGAGCGAGAGGGGGACATGAGAAGGAGAAGGCCTTCTCAGAAGGCGGCGGGACTTCTCAGACGCCCCCCGCGCCTTCTTGCAAGCTGCTCCTGCCTTCGGGAGCTGCTCTGAACACTCCGCAGAAGGCCAGGGGACTTCCGAGCCTCCTGAGAAGACCTTCTCGAGTCCCCCCCCGCTCGCCGCCGATGCACAAGAGCAGGCTCCCGCTGCGCCGCTCCTCCTCGTCCCGACGCGGCCTGCGCTGCGGAGCCGCCGCTCTCGGCGGGCCCCCGGCGTCTCGAGCGGTTGGAGGAGCGGAGCCGGCGAGGCTGCACCCCCAGGGGACCTCGCCTGTCCCGTCGCGCCGACCGTCTGGGGCACATCCACGTCGGAGCCATATCAAGCACGCGTCGACGCCGTGGCAGATCCGTGCCGAGTCCGTGTCGAGCACACGCTGGCTTCGCGTCGAAGACGCGTCAAAGCCGCGTCGGAGCAGAAGACTGCCCACACCACAAGCGTGAAGTCGGGCCTGTCCCTCTACAGGAGGAGGAATATTCCGAAATACTTTAAAAAATAGTCTGGGGACTATTTTTGCGTATTCGTTGACCATGTTTGACTATTGTTGGGGACTGACTTATCTCGTCCAAAACCCGCCTGTAGAAGGACATGCCCGACCTGACGCAAGCGGCTGCACGAGGGAGGGCGAGGCCCAAGAGCGAGGCGGTGTGCGGAGCGGAGAGTCCTCGGGGCCATCCCGGCAGTCGTGGGGAGGCAGGGGCAGGGGGGCCGAGGTCGGGTGTTGCTAGAAGTACCCCTGGCCCAAGGTGCCCCCAGCATTTTGCTCCATTTTGGAGCCCCCAGGGCCCTCTGGGCCTCGTGAGGGGTGCTTGGAGGCCGTTTGGGCTACCCCGAAAATCCTGGGGGCACCTTGGCCAGGGGGCACTCCTAGCAACACCC